TGGGTTTATCCATGGCAGTTCGACTTCACACACACCAGTGGTGGAGGAAGTACTGAATCTCAGTAGGCCTACTTAAGTAAAAGTACAAATACCCAGATAAATATTTACTTTAGTAAAAGTAGAAGTAACACAATGACAACCATACTTAAGTAAAAAGTAAAAAGTACTTTATTTTAAATGTACTTTAAGTATTAAAAGTAAAAGTACTTGCATAACAATTGATTCTCTTGATGTCTATTTTCTAATGATTAATAAAACATTTAATTCTAACTCATTTAACCTAATAGCCTACTCCTATAATGATGTTCAATAATGATGGAAAAAAATGTCACCATTTCTGAAACAAGCTTGCAATTAGAAAATATCATGCTTATCCTTACTATATGTTAATAACTATTGGCAGTAAACGCGATTCATTTATGGTGTAATTCTGAACCTCTTGGCTTGCCATAATCCTAACCAAACCAAACATATATTACACACGGTGTGTTTCCTATGCACGTAAAAACAAATTTTCGCGTATGAGTTGCATGATAAACATACTGCGTGCCAGACGCATTTAGTTGATGTATCTATGGCAACCAAACGTGAGACAAACGTGCAACGAACGGACGGTCAGATTACGTTTTGGCAGTGGAAAAACTGATCAGAAAATGTAACGAAAATGTAACAGAAGTTGTAGAAATGTAGTGGAGTAGAAAGTAGAATAATTGCTGCAAAATGTAACGAAGTAAAAGTAAAAACTATGCACTATTTATTCTACTTAAGTAAAGTAAAGATACGTGAAAAATGTACTTAAGTAAAGTAACGAAGTATTTGTACTTCGTTTCATTCCACCACTGACACACAAGCGCGCGCTCTGAGCCAGTGGACGCGCACTGTTATGAATGCACAATGTTTCGACTTTAATCTCGAAACATTTCGACTTTAATCTCGAAACATTCCGACTTTAATCTCGAAACATTTCGACTTTAATCTCGAAACATTTCGACTTTAATCTCGAAATACTAAATTTTTTTTTTTTTTTACAGATTTTTTTTTTTTTTTACAGATTTTTTTTTTTTACTGACTTTTTTTTTTTTTTAGGTTGCGGTTCAGGGCTTCCGTACTGTTTTGCTTCAATAATACTCGATATAATACAGTGTATGCCTAATTTGAGTCGAGTTTTGCTTCAATAATACTCGATATAATACAGTGTATGCCTAATTTGAGTCGAGATTCTGATTGTTTTTTCAAAACACAATTTATCAATGCCAAACCACATCAATCTTATTAACTATAATTTATTTTGTATAAAATTAATATACAGTACCGGTCAAAAGTTTGGAAACATTACTATTTTAAATATTTTTTGAAAAATGTCTCTTCTCCTCATCAAGCTAGCATTTATTTGAGAAAAAAGCAGTAATATTGTGAAATATTATTATAATTTTAAACAGCTGTTTTCTATGTGACTATATAGTAAAGTGTAATTAGTTCCTGTTTATAATATATCATGTGACACTGAAGACTGCATTAATGATGCTGAAAATTCAGCTTTGCATCACATGTTTAAATTATATTTAAAGTATATTAAAATAGAAAACCATTATTTTAAATTGTAATTATATTTCACAATATTACTGTTTTAATTATATTTCACAATATTACTGTTTTTTTTCTGTTTGATCAAATAAATACAGCATTGATGTCAGGATTCAGACTCGGAAACAGAGGTAAGTGATGAACATAAACTTTTCTTTATTAAGAAGCAAAGGTAGGTATTCAGGATTTCAGGTGCTTAGAGGTGATCTTCGAGGAGGATACGTGGCAGGAATGCATCCAGGTGAGTAAATCCTCATCTTAAGGAATAACATAAACGATGCGACAGGACAATTACTTTCCTTTTCCTCTCTTTCAGCTCTACTTCGAGCAGACGGGGTGCAGAAAGGATTCCAGGTGAGTAGAACCCTTTTTAGTGCAGAAAATCGGGAACTAACACAGTTCAGTGATTCTTGCCTTTTCTCTTTACAGAACATCCATAGGTGAACGAGACTCGGGGCAGATTCCAGGACACAGAGAACGAGAATCATGGAGCAGATCCTGGGAATATCAGAACAAGGACAGAGAGGTTAGTCTTTTCAGGTGAGTATACATTACTTTTCAGCTCATTGGATGACTCGGGGAGAAGCAAGTGGAGACTGGTTAGGGTCTTTTCCTGTTGGAGGCTTGACAACGAGTGAGCGTGAACTGGGTGCTTTTGTGCTGGCTGGGAAAGGCGTGCTGAGTGGAAACAGGTGCAGGTGATTAGTAATCTGGGGACAGTGATCATTGCGTGGTGACTTGGGAGGACTCTGATTGGCTCCTGACATTACCCCCCCCCCCCCCCCGCCCCCAGAGTCCGCGCCAGCGGACCTTGGACCTCGACGTCGTGGGGGTCTGTCTCTGGGTCGTAGTGCAGGTTTCTCAGGATGTCGAGTATGGAATTCTAGGAGCACACTGGGATCAAGAACATCATTCCGAGGTACCCAACTTCTCTCCTCTGGCCCATATCCTTCCCAATCAATGAGGTATTCGAGTTGACCCCCTCAACGTCGAGAGTCCAAGATCTCCTTAATTAGATAGATGGACTCTGGTTCAATGGGTGGTATAGGGGGGTTTTCCTCTGGCTCAACCTCTGTGACTGACTGGGGTACCGGGGGATGATAGGGCTTCAGGAGGGAAACATGAAACGTGGGATGGATGCGGTATTCTGGGGGTAACTGGAGCTGGTACATTGCTTTACGACTGGAAATGGTCCGATGTTCTTGGGGTTTAACTTTTGACATGATTGGCGAAATCTGATATCTTGAGTGGAAAGCCAGACGAGCTGTTCAGGCTGATACTCTGGATTGGGTCGGCTGCGTTTATCAGCAAACTGTTGCCGATTGACAGCTTGCTGAATGGGGGACCAAGGTCTATTTGGGACAGGAAAGGGTACCAATTTACCCACAGGCAGATTTCTTGGAACCTTGGAGATTGCCCACGGGATACAGCTTTGAATGAAGTTGGTGATATCTGATCTCATGGTGGACCACCAATACTTGACTTGCAGGGCGGCTAGTGTCTTGTTTACCCCTGGGTGTTCAGTGGCTACTGAAGAGTGAACGGATGAAATCAATGACATTCGAAATTCCTCAGGCACGCAGATCTTCCCGGGAGGACATCCGGGGACTCCGGCTTGTTGCTGGGATAACTCTTGGAGTTGTTCGTTTATCTCCCACTGGATAGTTTCGGGCTCTTCTACAGGGATTTCAGAGGCATGAAGACGAGATAAAGCATCTACTTGGCTCTTCTTTGAGCCTGGGCGATAGGTAATCTTAAAATGGAATCGTGTGAAGAATAACGCCCATCGGGCTTGACGTGGGTTCAAACGTTTAGCCTCTCTCAGATACTGAAGATTTTTGTTGTCGGTAAGTACTAGGAACGGGTGTTTTGCTCCCTCTAACCAGTGTCGCCATTCCTCTAAAGCAAGTTTCACTGCTAGAAGCTCCCGATTTCTGATGTCATAGTTGGCTTCAGCTGGAGAGAACTTCTTTGAGAAGAAGGCACAAGGTAACGGCTTAGAGGAGCTATCGGAACACTGGGATAGAACTCCTCTGACCCCGGTGGTGGATGAATAGACTTCGACCACAAACGGTCTCCCGGGATCAGGATGTTGAAGTAATGGTGCAGTTTTGAAGGCAGACTTCAGTGACATGAAAGCATCATCAGCTTTTGTGCTTTTGTGCTGGCTGGGAAAGGCGTGCTGAGTGGAAACAGGTGCAGGTGATTAGTAATCTGGGGACAGTGATTGTTGTGTGGTGACTTGGGAGGACTCTGATTGGCTCCTGACAATTGATAAGCAGAAGAGATTTCTTTCAAAATCATTAATACTAGTAAAGTTACGCCATCAGATCACCTTTTTTCTTTGTTCATCTGGCTGTTATAACTCGTGTACAACAGGATAACTAAATTTAATGTTAATGATTTAAGGGTCAAGAGACCAAATAAAACAAAGACTGATCACCACAATCAGTCTCAGGTCTCCCGGGATCAGGATGTTGAAGTAATGGTGCAGTTTTGAAGGCAGACTTCAGTGACATGAAAGCATCATCGGCTTCTGGAGTCCATTTCAAGGTCTTGGGCTTTCCTTTCAACAACGAGGTTAAAGGAGCGGTGACAGGATTAAAAACAGAGAACTTGGAATAACAGACGGGAATATTCGTTGACAGATTTTCTGTGGGACTCTTGATGAACGTGGAATTCACTGTGATCGATTGGGTTTTTGATTCGTTGACTGAACAAGATGATGGATCCTTGTGGCTAGTGCATTGGCATCCCCATTGCAAGATCTTTCCAGACTCCCAGTCAATTGTTGGTTGATGACGAATTAGCCATGGTCGACCAAGGATGAGATCTGCTTGACTATTTAGCAGCACAAATGGTTCGAACCATTCTTGATGCGTCTTTTCTACACATAGTTGAATGGGAGTAATCTGGGTAGTAACACTCTTCTTGTTAATCAACTCACCCGTTACAGCATGGATGGAGTAGGTTTTGGGTGTGTTGATCTCTCGCAGCTTGAGTCTCTTGCAGAGGTTTCCAGAGATAAAGTTTCCCGCTGACCCTGAGTCGCCAATAGCTGTCACAGGAATGTAGATTTCTTGAATTCTTAACATCACAGAAATTGTGAGAGGTGCTGAAACAAGAGTGTGATCCAGAACTGAGCTTACCATCATTTTCCCAGGTCTAATCGGGCAGTTAAGTCTGAAATGGCCCTTGGTACCGCAGTACATGCATAACTTTAACTCTTTCCGCCAAAGACGTTCAGCCTGGGAAATCTTGAAAGTGTCAACTTGCATTTCTTCGACTTGATTCTCGAATGTGGAACTCTCGATATTCGGTTCAGAAACAGGATGATAGGAGGACTGATCAGGGTAATAACTCTGGGATCTTTGATGTACTCGCATGGCTTGTTGAATGAATTTTTCAATTCCTAGATTGTCATCGTAGATGGCCAGTTGGAGGCATAGGGCTGGATTTAATCCGCGGCGAAACACAGAAATCAGAGCTTTTTCATTCCACCCACTGTTGGAGGCTAGCGTGCGAAATTCCACAGAATACTCAGATAGGGACTTCTTCCCTTGACGTAATTGTAAGAGCTGTTCTCCGAAAGAGGAATCATCCGCGGGTCGTCCGAAAACTTCCTTGAAGTGTTTCACGAACTCTTGAACTGACGCGACCACAGGTGATTCCTTCATCCATAAAGCCTCAGCCCATCGTAAAGCCGCTCCTGATAGTTGCTGAATGATAAACGCTACTTTCGATCGCTCAGTAGGATAGAGTGAAGCTTGCTGTTCCAGCGCAAGTGAACACTGTAACAGGAATCCGTTGCAATCCTCCGCCCGGCCAGTGAATGGCGCAGGACGCGACGGGGGACTTGCAAAGCAGGTGATCGAAGAAGCGGCGCTCACGGAAGTACTCATGGGGGAAAACACAGGTCTCACGGGGGGAGCGGCGACTGGTGTGGGGCTTAGCGGCACAGCAGGTTGCTTGGAATTCATCATCCTCACCTCGTTCTGTTGTTAGGTCAAGCCTTATGTCAGGATTCAGACTCCGAAACAGAGGTAAGTGATGAACATAAACTTTTCTTTGTTAACAAGCAAAGGTAGGTATTCAGGATTTCAGGTGCTTAGAGATGATCTTCGAGGAGGATACGTGGCAGGAATGCATCCAGGTGAGTAAATCCTCTTCTTAAGGAATAACATAAACGATGCGACAGGACAATTACTTTCCTTTTCCTCTCTTTCAGCTCTACTTCGAGCAGACGGGGTGCAGAAAGGATTCCAGGTGAGTAGATCCTTTTTAGTGCAGAAAATCGGGAACTAACACAGTTCAGTGATTCTTGCCTTTTCTCTTTACAGAACATCCATAGGTGAACGAGACTCGGGGCAGATTCCAGGACACAGAGAATGAGAATCATTGAGCAGATCCTGGGAACATCAGAACAAGGACAGAGAGGTTAGTCTTTTCAGGTGAGTATACATTACTTTTTTAGCTCGTTGGATGACTCGGGGAGAAGCAAGTGGAGACTGGTTAGGGTCTTTTCCTGTTGGAGGCTTGACAACGAGTGAGCGTGAACTGGGTGCTTTTGTGCTGGCTGGGAAAGGCGTGCTGAGTGGAAACAGGTGCAGGTGATTAGTAATCTGGGGACAGTGATTGTTGTGTGGTGACTTGGGAGGACTCTGATTGGCTCCTGACAATTGATAAGCAGAAGAGATTTCTTTCAAAATCATTAATACTAGTAAAGTTACGCCATCAGATCACCTTTTTTCTTTGTTCATCTGGCTGTTATAACTCGTGTACAACAGGATAACTTAATTTAATGTTAATGATTTAAGGGTCAAGAGACCAAATAAAACAAAGACTGATCACCACAATGGTGACTTAAAATTACATTTTTTTTTTCTCCTTCAGTGATTCTGCTTGTTACCATCAGGTGTCTTCAATAATACTCAATCATCCCTCAATCAATTCACACTGATTTTGCTGTGCCTTAGTCAGTTTTTAGGACCGTTTTTAGCATTTTAATCATTTTAATTAATAATTTTATTCATAACTGTTACAATGTCAGTGGTTTGTTTTAAAGGGCTGCTACCAAATAAAATAACAATTTGTTTGAATGGTTCTCTGTGCTCCTGAAGATTATTTAAAGTGTATTGGAATTGTTTACTTTGTTTGTCACAACAACCCCACTGGTATCACAGGAAAAATAGAGAAGACAGAGTCAGCCAGCCTGACCAGCTAAGACCAGCCTGGCGCGCTAAAACCAGCCTGACCAGCTAAGACCAGCTAAGACCAACACTGACCAGCTAAGACCAGCCTGACCAGCTAAGACCAACACTGACCAGCTAAAACCAGCCTGACCAGCTAAAACCAACACTGACCAGCTAAGACCAGCTTGGCCAGCTGAAAAAGTGTTCAAAACCCCTCTAAAACCAGCCTGATAAACCAACTATAACCAGGCTGGGAGACCAGCCAACCAGCCTAGGCTGGTTTTAGGTGGATTTTTCAGCACTTTTCTGTCAGAGGCTAACGTGACTCCCCATCACTGAGAAAAAACACTTTGTACCTGATTCAGTATCTGCTGTCAGATGAGATGTTGTCAGGCTATGTCAGTGTCATTATTCTAACGTTATTTTCGTAACTTATTTCGAAATAAAGTTTCCTCACCTCAGAAAAACTTTCCTGTCCTGTCAGATGTTACTGAGCTGGTAACATCTGACAAGCCCTGTATATCACTTGAATGTAAATAAAGCGCAAAAAAAAACTACTAACTTATGCAATGTAAATTAGTAAGCCATGAAATTACAAAACAGTAGTAAATTACGTGCCTGCTAAGTTACTTGTGATAGCTTATTTTATAAAAACGCCAGAAAAATGTTGGACTATTGCCTAAGTCAGGCTGGCTCTATGGATATATTTTAAGAAACTAAGTGTTTTAATTTCACAACAAAGCCAAAGTTTAAGAAAAACACTATCGGTACCTGGCTGTGACAAGTGAAGGCACTTCGATGCTGCGGAAGGAAGGTGCTTCTTGACTTGCGTGCGTCTGTGGTGGTTGTGATGACTGACGAGAGATGTTGAAAAGGGGGAGGGGCAGCGGCTCGTGCGGTTTCACAGAAATTTACCTTGCTCCGTTCGAGACCAGCAAGTTTAAATGCTTTTTCTGATGCCGTCGAAATGCACAGAACGGTTTGAGAATGGACACAGGCCGTGAACCCGCAGCGGAACCGTGTCGGTGGAAAAGAGTATCTAATCATATGATTCCCTGACTTGAGTTTTGTCGAGAGGTGGAGGCGGCCCGAAATTTGACGGAGGCGGCCGCCTCATAATTGTCTATGCAGGAAAAACCCTGCTCAAGTTATAACATAATAAGATATTTGCAAATAAACTTGCCATGTAGCTTCCATCTTTGCAGTGTAAAGATGACTATTTCTTGATGTTGATAAAATGATAATGGTAATAGTCTATTGTATTATGATTGAAGTTCTTGGTTAAATTAAAAGTACTGAGATATTAAACTATTCAGCAGTACAAATATTAAACAGATTTGGGCTGCTAAATATAGTCCAATGCCGTGGTACAACAAGCACACCCAGGGCCTTAAGAGAGCAGACAGAAGGTGGCGGTAATACTCCTAAGTGGTGAGCAGCCGGTAACAAAAAGTAGTCGCAGGAGAACGCCCTCGTCTCAGTTCTCGCGCATGCGCCCATAAGGAAGTAATAGAATAGTCGAATTAAGTCGTTATTTATGTTTTTTTCGCACAAAAAGTAGTCTTGTGCCGCTGTAGGCACATGGAATATTTAAACCTTTTCTTTAATGACTTTATGGGCCGTCAAGAGCCAGTCCCTTAGGCATTCTATGTAGGACTGATCCAGCTCTCAGATTCAATCAAAAATATCTTTATTTGTGTTCCGAAGATGAACGAAGGTCTTACGGGGTTGGAACAGCATGGGGGTGAGTAATTAATGACTTAATTTTCATTTTTGGGTGAACTAACCCTTTAACAAACTCCTCCTACAGTTTACTCTGATCATTTTCAAAATTGGTGAGTGTAATCTTAAGGCCTTTGCGACGTTAAATACGTTCACATTAAATATAACACTGTTGTGGACTCCCTAATAACATATAAAGTGCCAGCAAGTGCTAAACATGCTAACAACATACTTGAAACATTCTAAAACATGCTAGCAAACACTTAGCTAAGTGCTAAAGTATGCTATTACTGCAATTAAAAAGGAATTTGCTGTAACTCAGACATGGAATGTCCAATCTGCCCCAAACTTCACATGTTTCATAAGAGTCATGGCCTGAACACATCTACATGAGAATATTCAGTTACAGCAATAGCGCCACCTACGGGCCACAGGAATTGACATCTTCAACACCACTGTTATGGACTCCTAATAAACATATAAAAAAGTGCCACCAAATGCAAAACATGCTAACAACATACTAGAATGCAAGCCAACACTTAGCTAAGTGTTAACACATTTATACATGCAAAAGGAAGTTGTAACTTGAGCATGCAATTTCCAATGTGCTCTAAATTTAACATGTTTAACATGTTTTATAGACTAGTTTCCTAGTCTGAAGACATCTACATCCCAAAATATAGTTATAGCGCAACCTACTGGCAACAAGTAGTAACATATTTAACAGTGTGATGTAGTAATACCAACATATTAAATATGCCATTGAGTTCTAAACATGCTAGCAACACTTAGCTTAGTGCTAAAACATGCTAATTCAATGAAACAAGACTCAATGAGAGTTATCTCCTAAACACATTTCCATGCTCATATTCAGTTATAGTCATAGCGCCGCCTGCTGACAACAGGAAGTGACATGTTTAACACTGTTCTGGACCCCTAGTATCCCTAAACACACCAGGATCTTACCAATTCGCAATATTAACAGAATGCATAGCTGATATCTACAACTTCCTACTACTTAATTCTGAAAAAACAGGGATTCTAATTATTGGCCAATAATTTCCTCACGTAATAACCTAGAATACTGTCTAACACTTACTGTTGTTGGTTAGGAACCTGGGTGTGTTCTTTGATAGCAATCTTTCATTTGAAAGTCACGTGAATAGTATCTGTAAAACCGCATTTTTCCATCTTAAAAATACATCTAAATTACATCATATGCTCTCATTGACAAATGCGGAACAGTTAGTTCATGTGTTAATGACAGATTATTGTAATGATCTACCGCGGGCCCTACTTAATAAAGAAATTACAGCTGGTCCAAAATGGTTCTGTCAACCCTGCATTGGCTTCCTATTAAACATCGTATTAATTCAAAAATATTTCTGATTACTTACAAAGCACTAAATGGTTAAAGGATTAGTTCACTTTTGAAAAAACTTTTGCTGATAATTTACTCACCCCCATGTCATCCAAGATGTCCATGTCTTTCTTTCCTCGGTCGAAAAGAAATTTAGGTTTTTGATGAAAACATTCCAGGATTTTTCTCCATATAATGGACTTCAATGGGAAACGGATGGTTCAGGTCCAAAAGATAGTGTTAATAACAGTTTCAGATGCAGCTTCAAATGTCTTTAAACGACACCAGACGATGAATAAGGGTCTTATCATGCGAAACGATCGGTTATTTCAATGCTTATTCCAAAAATGTAACTTTTCTAAGGACAAATGCTAGCCTTTCTCCATTCTGTGAGGCGCGTTTGCAACGTCACGTAGTACGTAATTACGTTCAAAAGGTCACGGGCGACGTAGCCAGAAGTACAGAGTCAGAGTGTTTACAAGTTGAACGCATAGGTTGAACGTGAAAACTAACTCAAACGCCGTTTACAAAAAAGGAATTAAAAGGTAAAACAACGATGTCGGACGATTTTGATTCTGTACTTCCGGCTACGTCGCCCGTGACCTTTTGAACGTAATTACGTATTACGTGACGTTACAAACGCGCCTCACAGAATAGAGCTAGGCTAGCATTTGTCCTTAGAAAAGTTACATTTTTGGAATAAGCTTTGAAATAACCGATCGTTCCGCATGATAAGACCCTTATTCATCGTCTGATATCGTTTAAAGACATTTGAAGCTGCATCTGAAACAATTATTAACTGTCTTTTGGACCTTGAACCATCCGGTTCCCATTGAAGTCCATTATATGGAGAAAAATCCTGGAATGTTTTCATCAAAAACCTAAATTTCTTTTCGACTGAGGAAAGAAAGACATGGACATCTTGGATGACATGGGGGTGAGTAAATTATCAGCAAAAGTTTTTTCAAAAGTGAACTAATCCTTTAACTCCCCAGTACTTGAGCGAATTCTTAACGCATTATAGTCCTTCACGTCTATTGCTGTAACGGTGCCCTTGCTGGAGTGCCCTTGAGAGCCACCTGAGGGCAATCCACATCAGACTATCATTGTTCACTCACAACTACATTTCCCATAA